TTTTTGATTTCTTGGAAATATGTTCAATGCCTTATATTTATTTCAATAGTTGAGATCATAAGTCAATTGAATCCACACCAACATGGAAAACCTAGGAGAACTGGATGGCCGTTTTGACTCCTCAGCAGTGCGCATCCGCGATACTGCCTCGCGAGATTCCAACCCAGGACATATAGGTCTCGCACACGAGCGCCTAAACTCTACACCACTGAGCTGGCCGGCATCCAACGATGTTAATGTCTAGCTTCAACTAAACCACGAAATTGAGCGACTTATCCATTATTGTCTTCAGTGAGTTACTATTATCTCACAACAGACCCGGCTGAACTCCACTGGTCATTGCTTCTCACTAGAACTCCAGAAAATACCTCTTGAAGCCAGTCACTAGTGAGCATATACTGATTAGTACCAGTAGGTGTTTTTGTGGATGTTATAGTAATTTCAATAATTGAGATCATAATTCAATTGAATTTTCTAAGCGTAAATGTCATGGCTGAAGATTGTTTGTTTATCATTCCAATTAGATTTACACTGATAAAACTCTGTTTACTTTCTTGTTAGGTATTTTCAATTAAATCAAAATGAGTGTTAATTAGTAGTATATAATCACTTTCTAAGTTTTTCACATTCGACTTCACTTAGGATAAACAAAAATTAGCCAAACGTATTTAATATGAAACGTTCAATTAATTAAACTCCTATTTACTGATAAATGATCATGTTAACTTTCAGGTTTGTTTTCCAGATTATCTTTACATTACTTTACAAAAATCTTTAGTTCCACCGAAATTTTAAACGATTAGAAGATGACTAATGAGCTCAGTGGTCTAGTGGTTTATCGCTAGCGTGTGAGACTGATAGGTCTCAGGTTCGAGTCTCACGGGGCGGAATCGTGGATGTGCACTGCCGAAGTGTCCTACAATATGACGAGACGGCCATCCAGTGCTTCCAGGTTTTCCATGGTAGTGGTCTACCTTCAATTGATTCATGATTTCAATTACTGAAATTACTACAATCTCCACAAAACCCCTTCTGATACTAATTATAAGCTGCTTCATAAATCAATGTCAATGTAATTAAAGCAGAATACAAATAATTTACTGAAGTCACATCAATATTGAGATGGTGGAGAAAATTTGAAGTTAAGGTGGATGATTTCGGTGAAGCCAGATGGTTTGGTCATGGGGCTTTCATTGTTCTTCTGAACGACATCATCAGCACAAATTTTAGGTAGCAGTGAAGTGTTTGAATTTCTCCACATATGGTTTACTGCCTGTTCTGTAAACCTGATTGTTGATTGGTTCTTGTTGACCTTAAATCTGTCACTGTTCAGAAGTCAGGTAGAAGACTTCCACTCGACGTTTGTTCAGATAATGTTGTTCACAAGAGCAATAAAAGTTCTACGACTAAACTATCCAGTTTAGAGATCAAAACTCCATCAAAATTCGTCAACATTCTATCATTTGCGTGTAGATACTTACATAAAAATATGAATATTTTATACATCTAAGTCAGTGATTAGCAGAAATACAATGACTTACTGATGAATGCTTAATATAAGGTTTTATTTTCGCTGCTACAGCTAAATACTATGTCTGCCAGTTATAATATTTAATTCAGTTAAGTTTCATCTAGTAAATATAGTTTTCTCATTATATATAATCTGATGATTAAGTGAATTGCTTTTTTAGTAACCGGATTTCCACAGACTTGATCATTGAACTCATTCCTAAAATTGAAATGCTTCAAGTTGTTGACATTTTATACTTTGATTTTTAAACTTCAGCATTTTAGATTCCTTTTTAGACACAATAATTGTCATTATACAGATCAACAATCTATCCATAAAAGTATATATGAGTAAATAATGAATGGGTGAGCCCTGATATCAATCTCTTCCAATTAATTTGACCTAGGCTGCTAAATAGTATCATTTGCCTTTACTAATCTTTTTAACCACAAAATGTAAATGTTGAAGTCTTGACCTATTTGGGGTCGCGTGTACTTACCTACGCCACCAGCAATCTCTACCCAACCTTGTCCTAGGCAATACTTTCCAGTTGTTATTCATTTTTTCATATCTGCTTTTGTTTACCGACGTAATGTGTTCTTTGACCTTCCTCTTTAGCGCTTTCTTTCAAGATTCCAAGTTAGAGTCGCGTGTACGCATTGTTCTAGATCCTTAAATTAGGACGAAACTGTTATCCAGGTCTCGATGGATTGAAATGATTTTTCAGTTTAGAAAATCAATCCAAACCAAAAACTACATCTTTTTTATATAATTTAGTATGAGTTATTTGTTATTTTCTTAAACTAAGCTTGTTGACAGTAACCAACTAATAAACAGTATTCATAACGTCAAGGAAACTGACCTTCTACTAAAAAGTCTGAAATATCATCCGGAAAGTAACATATAGATATTTCAGAAGGGGATTGTGTGGATATCATAATAATTTCAATAGTTGAGTTCATGAGTCAGTTGGAGCTAGACCACTACCATGGAAAACCTGGAAGCACTGGACGGCCGTTTCGTCCGATTGTAGGACTCCTCAGTAGTGCGCATCCACGATTCCGCCTCGCAAGACACAAACTCAGGAGCTATCAGCCTCGCACGCGAACGCTTAACCTCTAGACCACTGAGCCAGCATATATTTAACTGTATTATTATTCATAAAAATAATAAACAGTACAATCAGTATTCTGAGTTAATTCGTATCTACAAATATGTTCTTAATCATTATTCATAAGTCAAATTATTAAGATAATTTATAAATTACTTAAGTATATTTATGATCAACAGAAATAAATGAAAACCCCACAATTAAGAATCAATATTTTAATAAACTCTGATAAACACCTTTCAAAACTCTACAAAAACTTCTCAAATAAATCAATAACCAATCTAATCACTTTGTCACTATGTCTAATCTGATTGGTCAGAATGACTTAATATTGCTTATTTTGTAATCATTTCTATGTTTTAAATACTGTAAAATGTATTTCAACCGTATAAGTATTCTTTTATCTCTGTATCTACATCATTGTTAATCTATATCTCTAACCATATTGTTACCTAATAGATTCTTTCTAGTTTCATAATTCATAGAATAACATCTAGTGGACGACTAAAATATCGGTGTAAGTATTGTTTAGTGCTCAAATGTAGCACATAAACTAAATCATTATAAGTTTTAGATTAAAAAGCACTTTCTTCACATTTCGCATAACGGTAATGAACTATAAATTGTAAGATTTTGTATTTTAGTGAGCCTGGTTCTTAAAAATATATGTTTGTTAATAAATAATTGTTGACTCATGACAAGATACCGTTGATTTGTCGTGTAAATAGTAACGAAATTTATATGGAATCTTGACGACATTCACGTTTCTTCTTAGACAAGCCATTTCAGATTAAGGACATTTCATTATGTGAACTTCAAATAAACTATGGCAGTTATACGTCAAGGTTGAATATCTTCAGAATTACAAATCAATATTTTGTTCTATTAATCCAACTCACTCTAAACAATTCTTGGTAATAAGACATAAGACGCTGTTCTTTCATAAAATCCACACAAACCTTTTTAGTAAGAAAAAGCAAAAAGGAAGCATAAGGAAGACCTGATTTTGAGCAAAACATCCCTGTATATACGCTTACAATTTAGAGGTGATGCACTCAGTGAAATTGGTATAGTAAAGTTGCACAGAGTAATCCAAAGAACCCTTAATGAAAGTAAACTACAACTAATGTTTTCCACATGGCCGGTGGTCACTCTAAGATTGAAAGATAAATTACCTAAACTAGTCACCTCTTTCTGTATTTATCAGTTCAACTAATCTTGCAGAGTAAGCTATATTGGGAAGTGTTCTAGGAATTCGTATTTTCGTGCTTGCGAGCACTCCTCTAGTGTAGTTAAAACTGTTAACACTTTAATTTTAGCTCATTTGGTACTAACGCGCCGTAAAGCCGACATGGAGCAATTAATTACAATAATATATAGTGTTAAAAGCTATCTGCCAAAATCCGTCAGACGGCTGAAGTAATAGCTATTCGGATCAAGAAGCTGAAGATTTGCATTCAGAGGAAATTTTTTCAACCGTTCCTTTTACCTAAACCAAATTCTGGCCTAGTTAATTAGACGAAACGACCATTCAATACTTCCAACTATTCAATAGCGGTCAAACTTAATTAGACTGGTGACTTCAACTATGAAGATGTTGCAATCTTCACAAACCCCACAGTTATCAACCCTTTTGATGATGTTGTGACGTTTCATCCGAGTATGGAACTCCTCAGCAGTGCACACCCACAATCCTGCTCGGCAAATTCGAACCCAGGACATTCGGTCTCGCGCGCGAACGCTTAACCTCCAAACCACTGAGCTGGTCGGCATTCAACGGTGTTGGTGTCTAACTTTAACCAATCTACGATTTGATTTTATATGACAAACAATCATTGATTCACGTGTTGTACTTTTGAATGATGTACTCTGCCTTGAACTTGACTATTTCTATGAATTACTAATTTGGATATATAATTGTAGAACGTGATGAGAAATTATTGAAAAGAATATAATTCGTTCATATAGTTGTGTTTTAATATGGTGATAATTTTTCTGTCTTACAAAGCTAATTGTTGATAATAATAATAAGTTAGACATTAACACCGTTGAATGCCGGCAAGCTCAGAGGTCTAGTGGTTGAGCGCTCGCGTACGGGACTGATAGGTCCCAGGTTCGAGTCTCGCGGGGCGGGATCGTTGATGTGCACTGCCGAAGAGTCCCACAATATAACGAAACGGCCATCCAGCGCTTCCAGGTTTTCCATGGTAGTGGTCTAGCTTCAATTGACTCGTGATCTCAACCATTGGAATAATAATAACAATCGGCATTTTTATCGTTTCATAAATTGTGTTCTACCTGACTTATAATCAATCATATATTCTTATTATTTTTTTCCATATTTTAATTTAGCACAAATCCTCTCGATTATATTCACCAATGTTTTTGTCAAGTTCAGAATATACTTCAAATGATTTACTGAATTCAAATCGTAAATCATCCACTTTATCATCGTCAACTTCACCAACGACAATGCCAACATCATCATCATCATCATCTATACGTTTTCGTGGTAATAAATTTGGACGTCTTAAAACAAAATGTTTAAACCTCAATAGATATCAACAAAACTATTCATTATCTAATAATCGTTTACATTTATGTAATAAACCAAATCATTTCAATTCAATAATGACAACATCTGCATTGAAAGCTATTCGTAGATCAACAATTAACCTTCCTAATACTCATTGGCCAAATTTGTCTTTAGGATCACAAATTACAACAACAACACCACCATCATCATCATCATCACCAGCATTTACATCAATAATAGATCAGAAATTAAAGTCAAATTTCTTAACTGATCTACAATTTCCTGAAACCAATATAAACAATACTAATGGATTATTGTCTTCTTCTGCATCAAACTTACGTGGTAATCATCATCAGCATAATAATAATAATCCTAACAATACGAATAATAATTTAATTGATCGTCCAGTAGTTGTATTAAATCCTGATGAACCACGTGAAATATTTATTGGTGGTGTACAATCTGTTGCATTACCATTATGGGCATATTGTAAATGTTTAACAATGGTACGTGGTGAACCACATGAATTAGGACCACGTTTATGTTTACGTCTATTACAAAGTTTATTTAGTTTACATTATTTAGTTACACATAATTATAATGGTTCCGGTGGTAAAGCACCTATTGATCCAATTGTAATGAGTGCTGTATTACGTCAAGCACAATTACAATTTGGTTCAGGTTATTTTTTTACTGAACCAATGGCTTTAGGTAAATTAAGAGATTATTTAAATAATGCTTTTCGTGTAATGGCATTTAGACAACGTAAAGGTGAACGTGTAAGATCACCATTTTGGAATGAAAAAGGTGAACCAATACATGATTTAGAAGCACCGGTGGAATTTTCAAATATTACTGATATTATTGTTATACCACATTCAATTAATACTACTACTACTACTACTACACCTAACACTAACACTACTACTGTTATTACAGCTACAACAACCTTATCAACAACTACATCAATGTCAAATGAATCTGATAGGAATATGAATTCAAGATGAACAATGATTAAAGAAAATACATGCGGATTAATTTTTTTTTTAAAAAGTATCTTTACTTTGATCCATTTCATCCTTTCATAAAATGATTCTTTCAAACTATGAGTAGTATGTATATTTGTTTACTTCAATGAAACCATTCAATAATATACACTTATACAATGTTAATTATATTGTTTCATAAATAATTTAAAATAACCAACCACGGTGAGGGGGGGGTAGGATTAAACAAATTCACTTGGAATGTACTCTTTATTGTTACTAATGAAATGATGTTCAACTATTGTAATTAATTCATTCATTCATAATTCAATAATGATATTCATTGAATAAAATAAAGAAAGAGAATGAAGGGATATTCAAAAGATCATTATGATGAATGAGAGAAAGAGAGAGATTCTATCACTTGTATTTAGGCTACAAATACATGGGGTATTATGTATACATATAATAATAATAATAATAATAATAATAATAATAATAATAATATTGATTTAATCATACTACCATAGTTACTTAGTTTCATATTATTTTGTTTTGATTTTTAAGTATAATATAAAACGGAAACGATCAAGTTTATACAACTAATTTAGTCTTGCGTTCATGTTGACTTGTAACACACACACACACACTCTCTCTCTCTCTCTCTATTATGTTGATTTATTTCTCTCCTATATTGGTTTAACCAAATTAAAGACAAACATTTCATGATTATATTATATGTATACTGTATTGAACTGTATTGTATTGTACCTATACCTGTATTGGTGAAAACAGTATTTTACAATTACAAATACAAACTAAATAATTAATTACTGTGATTTCTATCAGTGATAAGAGTGTATAAGATTAATGTTGTCTACAATAGTGAACATACTGAATGAAAGTATTTGATTCATTCCCAGAAGGAGTGGTTATTGAATGTCATATAATATCTTATGATATGAGAAACATATATATATATATATACCAGAGTTTAATAATATTAGATGGTTAATAGACTATTGTAACGACATGACAGATACTTCAAAAATAATATTGAAAAGCGGTTGCATAAAAGAGAAGATAAGAATATCTATTTATTATTCCCTAATACTAACGTCATTATCATCATCATCACCAATAACAACAACAACAACATCATCATCATTCTAATTATAAGCATTCCATATAGATATAGATATATACTTATCATCATTAACATAGTAAATTATCGGAGAGAAGAAAGATATAAGTAGATAAATTGATCATTCGAAAAAGCGATTATCAAATACCTCATGTTATCATAAAATAGGTAAATCATGTGAAGATATAATAATTGATGAAGGAAAGATGGTTGGTGTAGATGGTGGAGGGATAAGGAAATAAGGCGGATATCATTAGACAAAAAGAAACGTTCCCAGGAACACAAAAAGTATATGTAACTAATGATTAATAATTATAAATCATAAATTAATTATATATTTATCAGTAGGGGTTTGTGGAGATTCTAGAAATTTCATAGATTGAAATCATGAGTCAATTAAAGCTAGACCACCATGGAAAACCTGGAAGCACTGGATGGCCGTTTCGTCCTAGTATGGGACTCCTTGGCAGTGCGCACCCACGATCCCGCACCACGCGGGGCTCGAACCCAGGGCCTGTGATTTCAAACGGTTGTCTACTAAAAATTTATAATGTAGATAAATGATTTCATTTGAAGTAAGTTTTTATTATCAACTGAAGTTAGAGAATTGAATGTTATTCAGGTCACAATTCAAATTCAATCTTAACTAGACATCTATTGAAAACTAAGAAGCATTGGATAGCTGTTTCATTGTGGTAGAGAATTCTTCATAAGTGAGTATCTATGAATTCTCATCTAACTCAAGACTTCCACATCTTATAGTAAGACTTCAACCTTCAGACTATTGAGTCGACATCCATTGATTTTCATGTCTGACAACAATCAATTCGTAATAGAGTACAAACATTTTCTATTACCTTCAGCAGATGCACTTCTGAGAAGTACCAAACAGTTTCTTTGTGTTTCCTAGTTTTCAGTGATTGTCTAATAGGTTTTTTAATGATCTTAATAGCTGGAGAATTACTGAAAGCTTAAAACACATTGATTTAGTCTGGATTTGATCACACACAAAATCAGCTATTAAATTTTTTTTTCTTTTCATTATTTTTTTAAGCAATGTCAGTTAATGATAAATATTTTATTCGAAAGATGAGTAAACTATGAAGAATACCGTTATTACAATGTGGATTTAAATGGATTAGATTTGTCACAATTGATTGATCACTGGGTAGTGATCAATGTCATGCTTGTCTAGTCCTCATTAGTGCAGTTCGAATGCTATCGATCATGTTGCAATGTGGCCACCAGTCTAGGTGACTCGACACTGTGAGCACTATATATTGAGATTTAGATAGTGGTTGGAGGTAGTCAACAGGAAACCCTGGACCCTGTTTTCGTGCTACTTGGCACTCGTCAGCAAGGTGTACCTGTAATCTTGATTGAACTGGTGCTCCCTGGAGGATTCGATCTCGTGTCACCCAGCTTCACAGTCAGAGACGTTTGTTTCATCCTAATACGACATAAATTAGAAGTGGTTAATACCAATTGAATAACAGTACACTAAACAATGATATCCAACTCCAATGTATATACAATACAATAATCAAAATTTAACTTAGATTTTTTCGAGTTTAACTCTGAAACCAGAAGGGATTTAAAACAGTTTCAAATTTTTTATTACTAATAATCCCCACTTACAACTGAAGAACATCTGCAACTCAAAACAACTGTCTGTCAGACAACATCAAAGTCAGAATTTTCAATACAAATGTCAATACAGTTCTACTGTATGGGGCGGAAACTCGGAGAACTACGAAAGCAATCATCCAGAAGATACAAGTGTTTATTAACAGTTGTCTACACAAAATACTTCGGATCCGTTGGCCGAACACTATTAGCAACAACCTACTATGGGAGAGAACAAACCAGATCGTAGCGGAGGAAGAAATCAGAAAGAAGTACTGGAAGTGGATAGGACACACATTGAGGAAAGCACCCAACTGCGTCACAAGACAAGCCCTCACATGGAATCCTCAAGGCCAAAGGAGAAGAGAAAGTCGAAAGAACACATTACACCGAGAAATGGAGACAGACACGAGAAGAATGAACGATAATTAGATAGAACTAAAAAGGAAGGCCTAGGATAGATTGAGTTGGAGAATGCTGCTTGGTAACCTATGTTCCATTGGGAGTAACAGGCATAAGTAAGTAATAATTCCTATTCATAGTAAAACATTTTGTTGAAAATTATCCATTCATTATAGCAAAACTTAACTGGGTTAAGTAAAATTTAAGAGAAAAACTGATACGCTCTAAAGAATTTTCACAAGTATCAAAATAAAGTACAAGAGTTTATCAGTTGAATCCAATTAGTACACGGTCATGTTACTGTTTCTAATAAGAATGAACATACTTCCATCAAGAGTACACTGTAATGTCGTAAGATACTCGGAAGACTATTACTTTTCTATACAATTCGTTTGTCACAAATTAAGAAATTATTAATTATTATTATTATTTGAACACATAAATATTGGTACAAGAGGGCACCAAATATATTTGCGTCACACTATATTTGTGTGTGGGCTGTGATACTGCCCGGGTGCCCAAACCAAAGCAGGTGGTTTTCTTAGGGGGCCACTCCCCGAGCCTTTGACCTGAAGGTCTGATCCACAAGGCAGTGGGGCATCGTGAGGAGATGCATTCCCATGGTAGCCAATGACCAATAACTGGTTCATACGTCATTTATTTCCTCAGGATCCTGGAACCTATGTGCACCATTGGTTTGTGATCCGGTTAAAGCGCCGGACATTTGCTTTTCGTCCTCTCATTTTCGTAAACAACACTCCCGCCACGAGAAGGCAGTGAGTAGGACTTCCTTGGCAAAGGCTGTTTAACAAAGGAAAAAATGATTAAATTGCCTAATATGATAAGGAACATTAGAACTGAAACATTTCGAAAGTAATTTACATTACAAATAATGAATATTATGGAACAAAAGATGTGTTGTTTCGTATTATTAGAATACCTAAAAAGTATTTATACAAAGCTCTATACTAGATCCAAATAACATTCATCATGTTTCATAACAATGCCAATATCGTCAAGCCAAAATTTTAATGGTGAAATAAGTATTTACTTGAAAGAATTTTCTGCGGCTTCAAAACCATATTCAGACTTCAGTAATATGTCAACAAAATAGTAAAGTTTCAATGGTTGAGATCATGAATCATTTGAAGCTAGACCACTACCATAGAAAACCTGGAAGTACTGGACGGCCGGTTCGTCCTATTGTGTGACTCCTTAGCAGTACGCATCCACGATAGTAAAGATTTATATACAATTAGCCGTTGACTGAAGTTACATATAAATATTGAATGTAAAATTGTTTTTGATAATTTGAGACTATTACATAGGTTCTCATTATTACAAATATTCAAACTTTAAGAAAAATATCACTTAATGCCTTTGTTCACTCTGAAGAAGTAGCTTACATTAAGTCACGAAACGTCAGAAATAGTTTTTTTCTACTCATTAGGACATAACAAAAATTGTATTTATTGTTATCGCTTTCTCTTTTTAACTATGAAACCTTGATATTTTATGCAATTTTAGTTCCGTAGAATTTAGTGTTTACCTACAAATACCTGGTTGGAACTCTGTATTCAATACTACATTCGGTACTGTAATTGAAAATGACCACCTAGAAAAAGCATAGAAATACCAACAACTGATTTGTGACAGATCAAATAGATGAGCAGTAATAATTACACTTCAAAAAGACAGAAAAACTCTATCCTAACGGTTACTGAATCATTTATATAATGTAGATAGATTGTGGAGGTCATAGTGATGAACATATAGTAATTCGATAGATTGAACTATTTAAATATGAGACATAGTAGGCAAGTTTGATTTGGTGTGCTGTTTAATTCAGTATTGTGAACCATCAACCGGAAAACACAGTGAGTTAGAATTTATGATAGACCAAACTATAAGCCGATAATTTAAGTTCTATCTTTTTAGAATTATCCGATGAATTAAATTAACCCATTGATTTTATAGTCTAAATCCTATTGGCTGGTGATTCTAGAGCTAATGTACTGTTGAATAATCCCCAAGGTTAACAAAATCATAAAACATAATTTCGGAATCATGTCTTTGAGTTAACTAAACCGAACCTACTGTCCATTGCCATAAATAAATAATCAGCACCATATACTAATTGTTAATCGAATACTGATCAATATCATTATTTTAATCCTTTTGCTGAACACACTCCACTCACGAAGTCTCAATATAGTCACCAGGATAAGTGACTCAGGACGTGATAGTTTTAATGTTACGTGATTAAGAATAACTCATAGTTCGGTACAGGTTAGCTACTAGCCAGTAAGGCTTGTCCGAAGTTTCTTAAGGACAAATGCTTCATGTGATATGAGGATTGGCCAGGACAGGGTTGGATGGAGAATGCTGGTGGTTGGCCTATGCTCCTTCACGTGGAGTAACAGGCGTAAGTAAAGTAGAAGTAATGTACAAGATAAGCATTTTTTATACATGAATGAATCTAGTGATGTTATAATTCCATGTTTGAAAAAATGCACAATGTTATTATTTATCATTACTGTAGAAAATAAATCCAAACTAAAATTAAATACCAGACGTAACTCAAACCTTTATTACTATTTTCGGTTTACTTTTTCCACATATTCATGTGTTTAAACAAAGAACACCTATACATATATACGCTTCTATTTTGAAAAATTAATTTAACCACATGTGTTTCATTCGACTGTTTTTTAAATTAATCAGCTATCACTTTCATGCTAATATAAGTTAAAACAATAATTTTTTGATTGAGACCATGAATCGATCGATGTTAGACCACTATGGAAAACTTGGACGACAGTCTCATCCGAGTATGGGACTCTTCAGCAGTGATCACCCACAACCCTGTACGCGGGGTTCGGACCCAGGACCTCCGGTCTCGTGCGCAAACGCTTAAACCCCAGACCACTGAGCCGGCATCCAACGGTGTTAATGTTTAACTTCAACCAATCCACGAAATTGCACGACCATCGATCGATTCATAAGCTCAATTAAATTCAGGTAGGTGAGTTAAGATAAAAACTTAACAGATAGCACTTCACTGGATTATTTTAGGAAGTGTGCAACTGAATAAAAAATAGAATTCAATAAAGAAAAATTTCTATCCGACGAAATCATTTACTACAGATGTATGTTCATATTTATAGTTATATGGAAAATGTATGTCTATAGAAGGATAGGAAAGATTGCATCAGAAATTGATTCGAGACTCTCATTATTAAATAAGTTTAAGTGTTTACTTTTCTCCTTGATTCTGTTTAATTAATTTTTTGTTCAATTTCTAACATATAATTTTCATTAGAATAATGAAACACCCACCATCTTGAGCTTAAAGTCGATGTTTGTCACACATTAGAAATGTGATCATTCGTACTGACAATTACTTTACATTTTCGTGCACCTAATTCGAAATACAAAATTCAATACTTTCAAGTGTGTACATTAATTTCTTTGTGACTTTGAGTACTGGTCCATTCGTGCTTAGTAAAGTACGCATTGAAAAGTCCTGGGATTTACTAGTTATGACTTCAAATTTGATTATACTACTCCTACTTTCCACATCATAGTAAAAGGTTCACGCGATAACGGAAGGAGAGTTAATGAGGATTGTTCAGTTTGTAGTTTTTATCACGGACTGATACTATTTAGTGATTTATTGAAAGTCGCGTAGCACTGTATATCTGTTTCTCTTCAAGCTGAGTCTCTTGGACTTCATACCGAACCAAGAATTTTCAGGTATTAGGATAAATTTAAAACACTGAGTTGGAATACAGTCGACACTACCAACTTTAGTTAATTTGGGAAACTAGTAAACAACTTTGATCACTTTTCAGTCCTGTCAAGAATGGTACTAATGACAGTATTGGATGATAGACGTATTATCTTAATAAATTAATGCAGTTGAAAAAGTGTACCTTTAGGTTAGCATTCGTTTCAAGATTCGAAAGTTCGATCGTCGGTAAGGTGTTGGCAAATACTGTCCTGAACTAATGATTCTTCAGTTGATTTTTGTCCTTGAAGATACTCGACCACCCACACCTAGGTAACCAGGCCTTCGTCAATTTTAGAAATCATAAGACCACAAGCAAAACGAAAGTTCCTTCATTAAGGATTTAGAGAATGTCAGTCAGTAACAACGTAGAACTTCGTACGTACGTACATCAGTTCAAGTTGCCATACCACATTAGCACAGAAATGCAGTTGTCGATTCAAATCCCATAGTGGTAGAGGTAGTAAAAGTATAAGCAGGAGTCGGAAAGATTAGGGTTTCAAGATGTTATTCAAGAAGTATAATACAGTAAAATAAACTTGGAAAGAGGAAAAAACGGACATAAAGAATTCAGATTAGAATTTAGAACACAAAGAGTGGATGCTCCTGCCCCATTGCAAACGATTTTGAGCCATGTTATTCAGGGTATCTAACCATCAGTTGCTATCATCTCGCGGTCCCCAACCAGGTAGTCTACACCTACCAACATGACTCAGACCACTTGTCAGTGACTTCATGGACTTGTGCCATGTTTTGTTCTGGCCGCCCCTAGCTTTCTCCCAACCTACTCCTACACCACAAAACATCGCTCGTTGGGGCAGTCGGTGGTTGGGCATACGTAACACGTGTCCCAGCCATCTCAACTGGTGAAGTTTCACTACTTCATCAATTGATTTGCTACCCTTAACTAGTGCCCGTCTCCTAACAACTGCGTTACTTACACAATGGTCCCAGGATATACGAGAAATGTTTCAAAGACACCTATGATCAAATACTAATAACCTACGAATATTCTCTACTCTTACCGGCCATGTTTCACTGCCATAAAGTAGGACGGAACGACCTGCTGCGCGGTAAACACGTCCTTTGGTTTGTAGACGGATATCTCGCCTATGCCATAAATGACGCAAGTTGGCAAAAGCTTGTCGAGAATGTATATTAAAAGAAAACTAGTTAAGTCGAACGAAGAGAACTCTAATTTAAAACTCTCACTAATATACCCTGGTAAAGCGCTGATATGTTGATGGCTAAATATAAAAAACATGAATATGAAGTAGATACGAGACGAGTTTACCCGGATTATTTCATTTTATCCATTATACAAAAAGTTTGGCAAGAACTAAACACTGAAGAAAATTTCGTCACATAAGTAAAGAGACATTAAAGAACAGAAATAGAAGGGACGGTAGTTTAGTAAAAAAACAAATGAACGAAAATGACATAACAGTAGACACAATTCAACTACAATTAGAACCAAAGAAGACTGTTTCCGGTTAAAGTTCAATTTTACGAAGGATGTAAGAGAACATTACACCCGCACTAGCACTGGCTTCGGTTGTGAGCCATATCTGATAGCATCTCAAGCCGCTGAGTGTCATCTCTAGGACTGCAACTTACGAGTCTTGACGAACAGGTCCCAGTCCTACACAACAAAATACCAAAGAGTTACGTGACAAGATAACTATCTATCTGCTGTTTTTATCCCGTTTTAGCGTCCGGAGTTCGTATCCGATGTGGATTACTGATCTAGTCCTTCAACTAATGCAAAACTTTTTCACTTAACTCCAAACACTAGTTGTTATGCGCGAAGTCTACATTATTCAAGAATCTCTGTACACAAAGATTAAGCTTTTGAGTTATCCAAAATGGGAAATTAAAGAAATATGGTAGACAACACTACGAAATACAATGACAAAGGCCGACATAAAGGCGATATGAAGTGAACTTCCACAAACTTAATATATGAAAAACATGAATACCCGAGAGTTTTTTTAGACTAATTCACCAGATATTTGGGTATGCATCACATCCTAAGTGTGGAGGCAAATGATACTCCCCGGTTGCTGAAGCCGAAGGTCAGAGCTAGGACCAGGGACTTTGTGGCTGAAGATCGAACGCTTTAACCACAAAGTTTATAGAGTATTAAGGAAGCTTACTTGGCCAGATTAAATAATGAAGTGACCCTAATGTTTACAAAATCGAGCTCAAATTCTCAGTGAACACATTTTAAAAGATTCATCAACCAATCGACCATGTGAATATACACTAGGGACGTTAGGGCTACCACTTACAACATATTTATCTAACAAGCAAACGATCAAGATCCAAAATGAAGACAACAAAATGACCTGAACTTATTCACTTCGGAATTTTTCTTAATACAATAGAATATCTAGGGCAAATGATTATTTAACTGTTTACTGGATACTAGAATCTGTTACGATGTAAATTTGGAAGTACTCAACTTATTTATTTTTCACCTAAAAAACTCGATGAAATCCCTCAGTTGTTATATACCACTACGAAGACTGAGTCCTATGTGAAGGGTGAATTTACTTCAAGTCCATATGCTGGTTAAAGGCATACAAATAAAATCTTATGCGGATTCGTATTAATATCCAAATTTTATAACTGTTACATTTTACTACAGAGATTTGTGTCCCAAATTTAATTTTAATGTGCCAAAAATTTGGACTTTTTAATTATCGTTTATTTCTTGAAATATCTACGAACAGTAAGGCTGAGTGTAAACATACGTAAAAGAAGGCGATTCGATAAATCCACAACATATAGACTCTTTAGATACAGCTAGTATTAGGATTACGTGTTTAGTAACAAATATACTAAAACAGCTTTGATTATTATACCGAAGAGATATACTGAAAATTAATTTAAAAACCACACTTCAAAAGCATAAAACGGTTGGTCAATGACTAGTCCCTTTGGTAGTAAAATAAAGAGAAAATATGTATCAAAACAAGTTTATTTTTAAAAAGTTTCTGATTTACAATTTTTGTTAAGCTATTCATTATGAGGTAATCATAAACCTAAAACGAAAAGAAAAGAGATATAAAATTAATGAACATCTTTGACAACACTCTTACGTTTAACACAATGAGCATACATTATTATTAGCTTTAAAATACCACTATAAACTTACTAGGATACATTCAGTGGGATTAGAAATAAACCATTGGCGACATGACGTCTAGGCTCCCAATGACCGAACCGATGTTCCTGACCTAGACAAACAGCTAAATATCGACGATCAGAAGAGAAAGCCAGCCCATTGATAAAACCACCCTGGTGATTAAAACAAAAAAAACCAGCCAAAAATAAAGTAAATCAATTCTGGAAACTAAATATATCCAATACACAGTAAAGAAGTGGATAAGACTTAGATTTACATGTGTGTAGTAGAACAAAACGGATGTCGAGGCATTTTTGTTTATATTGTGCAATGTAAATAGCTGGATTTAAAAAGTAACCGACTACAATACAAATGTCGAAAACAGCAAAACACCACCAATAGTTAAGTTCCAATCGGTTATCAGGAATATGGTTGCATTAGCTCGATTTCCCACAACATATGGTCAGAAGAGGGAGATTAAATTATCGAGATAAATATAAGAGTAGTAGAAGTAATTACAGTATTAGTCGAAAACATTAGACATAGAATATGATTCGAAAAGAATTAATATGAAGAACAAAAGTCTTGCATATTCTTCAAACTCAAAATATAAGGGAAAATATAGAATGGACGTATTTGCGCCAATGCAACTGATTTTGAGCCAGCTCACACAACGTTACTACTAACGATCGGTTATGATAGTCACGAGGACTTCAAACAGGTAGACGGGATCTATGCACATGGCTCAATCAAAAGTTAGTGACTTTATGGACTGATACCACGCCTTGTTTTAGCCGTCCCTAGTTTCCATCCTATTTCTGCATACGTAATTTGTGTTCCAACCACCCCAATCAATGACAGTTTAGAATCTCAGGTAAGCCTCATTAAATTAAAATTAAAACTACAAAAAAGTGCTAGAGCTATTGAATATGATGTAAAGCTTACCAATGAAATACCCAAACCAGGTATGCGTTCAATACTGATCTGTGTTCGTTGTTGTTGTTGTACTTTAACTTCATTTGAACGATCCAACTGTGGCTGAACAAGTCGCCAAAATTGTATGTGCCCTGTGGAGGAACCTGAAGCGATTAGATCAGTTCCGTATAGACCAGTAATGGCAGAAACCCAATTCGCAACTGGTCGGATAAAAGGCTCTGACATCGACGGTGGGCATAATTTTGCCACAGGGTGAGCAGGAGAAACAGTAAATACAGGACTACCTCTACTTGAATGCCAAATATAAATGGTACTAAAGTGAATAGAGAGGAGTGAATTGTAAATTGTATATGAATAAATAAACTGTAATGAAATACTCGACAGAATTGATAAAACTTACTTTGTAGAAGAACCCCCTATGAAAATTTCGTCATTGACTGCATAAATGCATTCTACTGAACTCCTGTAATTTAGTAAAACAAGAACATTCATAATGAAATATAGAGTAGAGATTAAGTTCAAGGGCAACAAACTACTAAAAAGTATACTGAAACTTACTCTAATGTGTTTTTTGTACTGTACTGAACACATATTTCTTCGGGAACTTTCCAGACACAAACACCGGGACCACCAAACCCGGAACATGAAACACATCGTTCAGATACCAGACCACATAATCCTAACACTTCGATATTTGTTCTTGCCCTGTATTTGAAGTAAAAATTAATTAACACAAACTGAAAAGTAAGTGGTCTGTTCACGCTATAATAAAAATTTAATGGACACGGGTTTTGGCGACAAAAAACACTAATATAAATATGATGACATCAGTAATAGATACGTTTTGACTAGAAACCCATTATTACCGGGAAAATTTAAAGAGAAACTACAAATTAGAAGCCCATGTTGAGAATAAACCGGGTTAAACGTCAAGACATAAAAACCAGCTCGGTAGTCTTAATATTTATTTATCTTAAAACATAAACATTGGCGCAAAGGGGCATCAAAATATGTCACTGAACTTATGTGTGGACTGGGATACCCTCTGGGTGCCCATACCAAAGCGGTGGTTCCCATATGGAGACACTTTCTGACCTTTAACCCAGAAGTCTAATCCATAAGACAGTGGAGTGGCATTATGAAATGCGGTCCCATGGTAGCGAGTGATCAACAATAGGTTCGAACACAATTTATTTCCTCAGGACCCTGGTCATTAGGCGCGCCATTGGTTTGTTTATTCATTTATTTGAACACAAACATTGGTGAAAGGGGGCACCAAATACATATGCGCCACACAAAAACAATGAGGTCAGTAGCAGTTATCATTGATTTATGTGAGGACAGTGATACTCTCTGGGTGCCCAAACAGAAGCAGATAGTTTTCGTCTTCTTAAGGGGCCACACCCCCTAGCTTTTGACCTGAAGGTCTAATTCACAAGTCAGTGGAGCAACTTTAAAAGATGCAGTCCCATGGTGGCTGATGACCAGCAATAGGTTCATACGCCTTTTGTTCGCTCAGGATTCTGGGACCCATGTGCATCATTAGTTTGGAATCAGTGGTCTTCAATTCCCCTAGGTTGATCCTCCATATCCACCAACTAGGTTACAGCACTGAACATTCGCTTCCCATCCTCTGATCCCCGCCACGATAATGCAGTGAGTAGGACTTCCCTGGTAGTGGCTATATACGTGTATCATGAGAGCATTTCGAGAAGGCGGGATCTCCTCACCTTCGAGAGCACCAGGGCGACTGAGCTCTACTAGCGTAAATATAGCTTGTACAAATCTTACCTGCTACCTAGTACCACTACCTTTCAGATCAATAAGTATTAATATACATTGTGAGGCTGTTAGACGTTTGGATATGATCGACGTAGAACCCTGGACATAGGGTTCGTGCAAGCTGATGCTCGTCAACACGGTGCACATGTAAAATGAAACAGACTGTGACAAAGTAGGTAACAAGATTATATATTTGAAAAATAATTAAGACCTACCCTTGGTCTTGTAATACCTCTTTCAAAGGCATATTCCAAACACAAACACGACCAGAACAATCTGCTGTAAACAACATGTGTGAATGGTATCTAAAACTAACAGCCTGAATGATGAAATTATGATGAGGAAAATGATGATACTCACTGTGACTGGTACCTTATGGTGCAGTAGTTTCATGAAAACTTTCATTTCATTTGGGTCCCATATTATAACGGAATGGTCCATACTAGAGGAAGCCTAAAGGATATGGTAGATGGGCATAATTTGATGCATAAAATTGTATATCATAATTTATTCTAAAACAATTAACGTAAAATGACAGTGGATTTGTTAGATGTGTAGATATACCAAGAAATGAATCGCATCCAAGTAAAGAACCATTTTAAGAGTAACCTTGAATGTAGACTTATGAAAGAATAGATTAAAATTGATACGGTTTCGCTCCAAACCCCATCTATCAGTAACATGTTTTATACTTACTCATATTATATCTAAGTGCTCGCTGCTTAACCAAGTCTTCATGGTCCTTAAACTGAATTCTCCCGATAGGTAACATGATTGAGCATTCTGGCGTATACAAGATATGATATAGACCTAACTGTAACCACGAATGTAGGTGGAAAATTAACTATTGGTATGGTTAGGATACTGTTTATACTGCTACAGATCAAACAAGTTGTGCGCTTCAACATTATTTAAGCCATCTAACAATGTTGAATATTAGAGCAGTTACGTAGAGATAAGCCATCTGTTGAGCTTCATCATAAATTCGATGGTTTGAGTATGTCATAAATCTTCAGCCGTCACTATTTATCCGTGCCTTCCGTACAAAAGAAATTAATAATTTTTTCTGGTTAGCGTTTTTTAGCGAGTTAGTCTTCTACAGGATAGGGTCGTTAACCCTCCCTCTTTATCCGGACTTAGGAGCGGCAGTAGCCCCAAGGGGGCTCCAGGCAGATTTGCACAAAAGAAATAGCGAAGCGCAATTAAATCAAAGCAAACATCAAACTAGGATACGGTAGATTCTGTTTCGTATTTAAAGTTTCATGGTTAAGATTCATGGTTTTTCCCGTAATTTTCTGACTTTCTTGTTGTAACTATTTTTATCCCACTTATTTTTGTGGGCTTAGATGAAAAGATGTAAGGTGATAAACACCTGCGAAACATAGTATGCTACATTTTCGTCTGCCCTTAATTATTATTCACTGAATAAAAGGATAAGTGGCTCAGTTTCACTGGATCTTTTAAATCTTTTCTGATAGTTTGAATTGTCTCCGTACACCATACCTCACTAGATATTGACAGTCAAGATTACTTAAAAACGGACTGGAAATTCCTGGTTGTACGTTAAGCTTTTTGGGAATATTAAAACAGAAAACATGGCAGACCTGCAGACGGATTGTTTAAAACTACACGTCTATTGTTAATCACCGTTATAATGTAAAAATAGTTTATTAAGTTGTATGCGGTTCATAGCATGTTTTTAGAGAGTGAAGCCATGTGACTGGGTTACTATCGTCTCGAACGACAAGATAACTGGCTATATGAGCATACAGTATCCATAGGAAGTGCAATTTAATCCTGAAGAACAAATACATTATTTGAAATAAAAGTGACCATGGATGCACGTTCTCTCGCTAACGAGCGCTATTTGGACGAAAATTAACAGACTAAAACGATTTCTATATTACCAATTTAAATATAAACAACTTCAACTTACTAAATATTTACTGTCACTGGATATGGAAATAGACAGAATCGGGCCAGTATGATAGGGATATTTTGTTCCACGTTTCCCTCCAGGTATAGAACACAGTTTTACCATAGTGCTTAGATCCCCTAGAGGTTCTTGGGATGTCAACAAACAACTTACATTTAATTACTGAAGAATCCTTCCCTCCAGTGTAGGCATATTTACCATCTTCAGAAATACATACACAAGAGACAGACTTTCTATGACCTCTAAGAACCATAATTTCCTCCTTATTCAAGAATTTGATCTGAATGATAGGACTTATTTAGGTTTACACTAACCTGATGTGCGAACTTTGCTAAAAACTTTCCTTTAGCCTGCAGTGCCTCCTCTTTGAGACGTAAAGAAAGAGCTTCGTACTTTTCGTCATCCGAACCAACTGGGGAAATAAAAAACGTGCAAAATTACCTGTTTCGAGTGCTTTCTGAATAGCTTTCTTTGTAAGTCGTACTTTTTTCTCATGAGCACTTTCATGTACTGAGATATCAGACTCTGTTTCAGATCCAACGCTGAAACCAGTTAGTGAGCTGTGGAAACAACGCTTACGAACTCGCTTCACTATCAGATTCTATTTCTTCATCACTTTTCTGCTTCTTACTATGTTTCTAGTCCTATATTTAACACAAAACAAAACCCTACTTTAACCCGCAACCTCGTCGGGCGACGATCCAGCGGCATCGTTCCTTGAAGGAGGTTGTTGTGCGCTTGAAGGTCAAGCTGTCGTAAAACGATGGGTGCGCCACCTCTACAATTTGTAAGTTTTTCCAGAAGCGGTCAAATTTGATTTGAGTTCAGCTTCCATCCCTCGAGTAACGAAGGTGATCTCGTCATAATGACGCATGATATCGGACAAATCTTCACCGATATTATGCTTTTGCGACGATCTACTAGTTGAATTAACTTTGGGACGCGCGCTGTTTAAAAGGAACGGCAGTGTTTTTCCACGCTGAGTTAAGTTTGTGATTTTGATCGTTTATTATACATCAAGACTACTGTTTCGCTTTAATTGAATTTATTTCAGACAAAGTAACACAAAGAGTACTGTTTTTCGAAAGTAGTTTATCATATGTACTTCAATTCAGTTTCACTTTCAGATTCAGATTTGCGTAGTAAGGACAGAAGGCCTACGGCCTATGTTATTCCTTTTCTAGTATGCTTCTGTGAGTGTCAAGTCTTCTCTTGAAAGAGTCAATTGAAGGTGCGGACACCACTGCTTCAGACAGCAGGTTCCAAGTATTGATGACGCAGTGTGAAAACCTGTATGCCACGGGTATTTTGTTCGTTCTTGGCTTTTCTACTCGCCTGCTATGTCCTCTGAGATGTCCCGATCTGGTGGGAAGAAAGAGAGAGAATAAGTTAGGTCCGAAATCATTTCTCAGTATTCTGTACATCAAAATTAGATCTCCCCTTAGTCTGCGATAGGGCAGAGCAAAGAGGTCCAGTTTTTCAAGCTGCTCTTTGTATGATAAACCCCGGAGTTCCGGAATTGCATGGGTAGCTGCCCTCTGTACTTTTTCTAGTATGTCCGAGTCACCTTTTAAACAGGGGCTTGCAACCTGAACGCAGTTCTCTAACTTAGTTCTCACTAAGGATGTGTATACTGTGGTGAACATGGTAGTATCTAACTTAGTGAATGTCCTTTTTAAAGCCCAGAGGGTTCGAAATCCCTTGGCTGCGACCTCCGGAAATGGGCCGTCGTCTTAAGATCATTACTCACTGTCACCCCTAGATCCTTATGAGACCGGACTACGGGTAATGACACATCCCCTATGTTGTACTTATTAAACTTCGAATCCCCCAAGTGCATGTAGACACACTTTTCCGAGTTGATAGGCATCAGCCACTCTCTAGACCAGTTTATCATATTCTTTAAGTCTGCCTGAAGAGTAAATGCGTCTTTGTCTCCAGTTATTACTCGCCAAATTTTTACATCGTCAGCGTATAATAACATTGGAGACTGTACTATACTTGTAAGATCATTAACGTACATTATAAAAATTAAAGGACCTAGGACGGAACCTTGGGGTACTCCACTAAGTACTGGTCTCCAGATGGAGCACTTGGAATTTATTCTTACTTTTTGTCTACGATCTACTAGGAAATCTTTAATCCATTTTAAAAGAGGTCCGGAAATACCAAGGTTTGCCAACTTCAATAGCAGTCTATTAGTTGGCACCTTGTCAAAAGCCTTACTGAAATCTATGTAGACAACATCCACTGAGTTTCCGTTGTCTAGCGCATTAATCCAGAGCTTCCTAGCTATAAGGAGGTTCGTTATACAGGATAGACCCTTTCTAAAACCATGTTGTGCCATGTTCAGCAAGTTATTGGTTTCCATAAATCCTGTTATGGTCCGTTTGATTATTCTTTCCAGTATTTTAATTACAACACTGGTGAGGCTTACGGGTCTGTAATTTGATGGAACTTGTCGTAGACCTGTTTTATGTATGGGAGTGACGATTGCGTCCTTCCAGTCCATAGGTAACACACCTTGGTCAAGTGACATTTTGAATATCACAGTCAATGGGGCTGCGATATATTGGGCAATATGTCTCAAGATTTTAGGGTGTAGTTCATCTGGTCCTGTTGACTTCTCCATGTTTAGGGTGCTAAGAGCCTTAAGCACATCGTTTTGGTCGAAGTCCACGGTGAGCAGCTGGTTTGTTGACTCTGTAATTGGGTCTGGTTCTTTCTCTAGAGGAGGTTCCTGAGTGAAAACTGCCCCAAAGTAGTCAGCCATAACCTCAGCTTTCTCCTGATCTTCCTCTATCATTTCAGATTCACTTCCTACTTTAATTAGGTTGGGAATCCAATGATGAATCCTTGTTCTGTAGTTTATGTACGAGAATATCCTCTTGGGCTGCTTGAGTGCAGATTGTGCCAGCTGCCTTTCATATTTTCTTTGAGCTTCCCAAACTTTTGTTATACACTTGTTTCTTACCGATCTATAGCGTTCCATCGTGCCAAGGCGGATGGTGACATCCCAACATTTCTTCTTTTGTCTTAGTAAACGTTGGATATCCCGGCCTATCCATGGATGACCGTGCTTCTTCTTCTTTGGAACTGTCCAGGGTATGTATGGTTGAGTTACCTGATTGTATAACTGCCTGAAAAGAGTACATGCCTCTTGTACTGACGCTCTTGAGTCGATTTCCCAGTTTTCAGCCGATGCTGCGGAGTTAATTGCCTTCACATCTGCCTTCCATATGTTGGGACGGGCCGGTGCAACTGTTTGACAAGCAATCTCAGTCATGAATTTGAATAAGATGACTGCATGGTCACTTCTCCCAAGTTGTGGGAGAAAAGCCATTTGACCAACGTCATCACCGTGTGTGAAAACTAAATCTAAAAGAGAGGAAGAGTTTCTTAAGTCGTATCTTGTGGGATCTCTAATGTGTTGGAATAATGCTAATCCAATCGAGGTTTCTAACAGTTTGCAGTTGAACGACGATATGGATGACCTTACTTCTAAGTTAACCCAGTTTATATGTGGTGCATTAAAGTCGCCTACTACAAGGCTTTTACCGTTGTTACACCAGGACTTAAGTTTACTTAGGATAAAATCATCTACTACACATTCTGTACTGCGATAAACTACAACTAATTCAATATCTTGCCGTCGGCATTTCAGCCTACATCTCACCAGTTCACATGTCCCTGAAACATGTGCTACTGTCTCAGCTAATCTTATGGTTAGGGTACTTTTCGTGTACACAATAACCCCGCCTCCCCTTCGGTTTAATCTATCAGCCCTACTGGTTATGAAACCAGTCAACTCGATTTCACTATCTAATACTTCTGTCGTTAACCAAGTTTCCGAAACAGCAATAACGCCCGGTTTTTCTTTATCTACCACTGACTTGAGCTCCGCCACTTTATTTAGTAGGCTGCGAGCATTTGTGTAGCACACTTTTAAGTCTGTGGAGAGCTTTCCCTTGCCACCCAGAGTGGCTTGGGGATCGTTTTGCTCCGAACTTTTACAATCTGAAAACCCTTAAGAACGAGGTTTCTTTCACCGTTTCGGCGACGCTCGTTTATTTCCGCTTCTGCAGCCCTTCTCTTAATACGATCAGCTAGGCTGAGGTCCTCACGGACATATATTCCGGACCCAATCAGTTTATGTGAATTACTTAGAACCAGGTTCCTTTCTTCCACCGTGTTGAATGTAACCTTCAGGAGGCAGGTTTTCGGAGGACTTTCGGAATCCACCTTTTTTTTATTCTATAAAGCTTACAAATACTGACTCCTGAAACTGTAACTGGGAGTAGTTTACTTAATGATGTCTTAATATGATTGAGATCGTGTTCAAATCTCGCCTTTGGTTCTTTATCTGAAGACTCTCTTATCTTATGAAAAATGACTGATCTCTCAGAGAGATCTGTCTTGTCACGCAGTGAGGATTTTTCTTCTGATAGCATGCCTTCCAATGCCTTGCTGACCAGCTGCGTTTTGCACACAGTCTTTTTCTTCCCATTTCTTTTTCTCCTTACTGAAGTCCATTTGTCACCACTCAGGACAGCCACACTTGGACTACGTGGAACGGTGACAGTTTTATCTGGATCTTCTATTTCGACTAGAAGTGTATGACTGCCGATGTCAATATCAAGCGGCACTTCATTCCTCGTTAATGTCAACGGAGATTTCAAGTTCCCGTCAACCACAGCCAGGTGTTTAAAGGGTCAGGTAGCAGCACTTACTACACTGACACATTCTTCTCCGTCAGCGCTCTTGTTATTGTTGCTTCCGCCATCGTTTTTCTTGTAGGTCAAAGCCAATAGGCCCATAGCCTCCCGAATTAGTACCTTTTTACCCGTATAGCAGAACATACAAAGCCAATGCGAGTTAGGCTCTGAGCATCTTTTGTAAGCCGTCGGACTTAGGCGTGTACACATTTTGTGGTACCACTTTTTACAATCGTCACATTGCATTCCCTCCTCCACGGGGAACAAACAATTTGGTTGCCCACATTTGTGAGTCTTACCAACCATTGAAATTCGATTAAAAAGGCTTAAAAAACACAAAATGATCACAATGTGAACACAAGTGTTAGTCAGGAGTAAAAAAAGGTACTCAGGACAAAATTTAGCAAAGAATTTCAAACTTTAACCAAAGTACTTTAAGTTAAAGTAGACCAAGAATGCTTTTTGGTGCAATAGGTACCCAAAGCAAGTATAATCACAAGTACAAAAATCACTTTGGAAAGGATAGGAGGCTATGTGGTCTGTGTTAGTCCTGGCAATGTTGGTACCTCGGTTGACCCAGCGTTTTTTGAAAGCGTTGACAGATCGAGCCTCGTTCATGTGTTGAAAAATGACAGTAAGCTGACAAGTAATTTGTTCTGACCTTGTGAACACTTTCAGAGTGTCTTCATAAATTCTTTGTTTTGGAGGACAAGAAAAGTGAGGGCATATCAGATGCGAATTTATCGCTAAGTAATTTAAAAATTGATAGTCACATCTGATTCTTCTATATAACAATGGAAATAGGTTTAGACAGTAAAGCATCATACGAGAGCTTTTCTAATCCGGGAATCAGCTTAGTTGCAGTTCTTTGAACCTTTTCCAACAGCTCACTGTCTTTTTAGGCAGGGACTGGCCACTTGTATGCAGTACTGGAGATTAGGATGCAGGAATACTGTATACAAAGTCAAGATGGTTTTAGTATCGATATGGCTAAAA